CTATTTTCAGGAAGATCTGGCTCAGCTTAACGAATGGGCAGGAGGGACCCAGTCCCACTGAACCCTGCAAAGTGCCATCTGCTGAGAGCGTGCAGCAGCTTCGTCAACACCTATCTGTTGGGCAACACGTCCTGCAAAACGTGACTTGTGGACGCGACTTAGGTATCATTGCAAGCATAGGCTATGCCACAATTGACGTGCGTGCTCTCAGTTCATTAAGAATAATCCACTCTAACTTCTCTATCTTCTAGCAGAGTAATCACTGTGCGCTCATTCGAACCGGATTTACCAGCGCTACACAGTGATCTATCATACGTGGAACTATCTTATACCACTAAAGTTTTAACCATCACTAAACGCTTTGCTTGTCATCCGCGATTAAACACAAGCGGGTAACTCATTCACTTTGTGCCCATTGCCCTTTTGTGTGCCACCATCCGCTGCCTAATTCTCGAGGCCGTCCGAAAAGTCTAAGCTTACTCCAATCCGGTGTTTCTCAACGCATCCGTGAAGGAATGTGTGATCTCGTGATCTGGATTCACCGCTGTGTACTTTCCTTTACTGGGTTCCAAACCAAATGGACCTAACCTCGATCGATCAACCGACCAACACTTCAACGTGTGCGTACAAGGGAACGCTGGAGACAGCCAGCGCGCTACGCTGACTCATGCTTACCTTGACGGGGGAAGCTGAAGTGACAAACCAATGACCTTAAACAGCCCGCCTACTGTGAACTTGTCTTGCAGGAAGAGCAAATGCTAATCATGTGCTAAAGTGGCAAAACCGCTCTGGTGTGTACCATGTGTTTGAAATCCTATCACACTACCTGCCTTGGGACGGGGCCGACAAAGAAAACGGTACACTAACATAGCAGAGGAGTTTTGGTTCAGCCTAGTATACAATTCCATCCCATTTGTTAGCTGTTTACCTGTGCTGCTGAAGAGGTGTGAAAGACTAACATAAGCGGTCGAGCAACTGGTGAGCGTCAGGGTTAACCCTTGGGAGGAAACGGACCTGCAATTATATGTGAAAAGGACACCCCGGTTCCCTTAGTCAGGCCGAAGAAGAGAGCCATGTGTCCCAACCTTACCCCGACGACTCAGTCTCCAGCAGTATCAACTCCATTCTCGCTCTCTCCTATAAGTAAAAGCATTGCCTGCAGCGCGCCTGCCTCAACTTCTGTACAGGGTGCTGCGCCTAATAGACTGTTCGCTACACACGAGACCGTAAGCTACAGTCAAGCAGCCGTAGTGAACAACCCGGCAACGTAGGTATCGGTTGCCGCCAAGCGAACAACGGAAAGAGCACCGGTAACCTTTGTGCCCGGGCTAGGGAAAACTAAAATGTCGCAGTACAGATGGCCCCTACCAGTGCCGTTCACAAATTCACCAAAAGCCCCGGATACGGAGGCTCCAAAGCCAAAACCGGTAGTCACCAGTCGCAACCATAGTGCCCTAAACCTTGTGGATACAACTGTCCCCGAATCCAAATCCAATACAATTAAGGGTAGGCGGACGGAGGATCGTACTCCATGAGGTTCCATCTGTATCTCGATAGACACTAAAAAGAATCTCGCGTCACCCAAACGCGTTGCACTGCGGTGAACCCAGGTTACTCCGTGTAACACTAAAGTCAGCGGACGAGAGGGATGCCGTTCTGTTGTCTGCGAATCGTCTCCGCAACGACTCAAGTGGAGTGCGCATACTACCCGAAATTCCGTGGAAAGAACGTTCAGCGGATCTCGCTAACAGAGGTACAGAAATGTCGTTAAGAAAACATTGATTGCTCACGGTGTTCCTGAGCTTGGTGATTCCTCTTCCAACGATGCTCATATGCAAGACCGCTTGCAATGGCACTACATCCAGCAGGCTCTTTCTCTTGAAAATGTCGTGGCCACCTCGTTGACAAGGATCCCCTATCACCAAACTATAAGGGGTGCAATCCCATGCTGTTAAAACTTGTGTTACAGTCAGAACTAACGGCACGAACAATTCTAGACAACTAGACTAAATTCCGTTGCAGATTGCCAATAGCAATTCGTCTGAAAGCAACAGGAACACCAACATCTTCTAATGACAATCCAGTAGAGGCACAACTCCTAATGGAAACGTCAACTGCAAGACCCGGCTTGGGGACGGTTTCAAGAGTAGCCATAATATCCGGAGGGAAGCAGCAGAGCACGAGCAAACATAGGGATCCGGGGCATCTGATACTTGACCATATACCAAACTCGTCCTGAGAGTCTGCAACCCATCCAAAAAACGATTAGTCGCCGATCCTTTATTGATCGGCGTAAATGCACTTGCTTCACTCATCCAATCTAACACACGTATGGTCTCCGGGGAACTCTCATACAGGTACACAAATGCCCAAGGTATGGTGAGCAAATTAGCTGAATTAAGACTTCGACACGAGTCAGCAGCTTTGGACCTCATCACTTTCAACGAAACGTGGTTGCGCTGTGATATAACGGGTGCAGAAATCCCGCTTATGGGCATGTCCGTCGTCCGGATGGATCGATCCAGCAAAGGTGGTGGGGTAGCCCACTACTTTCGTAACAGCCTGCAATGCGAACCTATAAACGATTCGGAAATCAGCGTACCTGACTGCATTTGGTGTAGTTTCCGGTTGAGAAGGAACGATCTTGGCCTATTGATTGTTGTTTACCGCCTACCATCGTCTACTCCTGAGATGGACTGCAACTTGGGGGCTGCGCTGAGGTAATTGATAAACAGGAAGTACAGTCACCTTCTAGTCACCGGCGACTTCAACTTACATGCGCTGGAATCCCACCCCTCACCAGGAGAGCAGTGCAAGGCAGACGTGCAATATCTGGTTTCAGACTTTTCGCCTTATGGCTACGTCACTATGCCCATCAGGTTCAGGGGAGATAACAGGCCATTCATATTAGACCGAATATTTATTAATGAAGAACTGATGGTCGAGAGAGTGATAACCGATAATCCTCTGGGCCGCAGCGATCCTGCGACGCTATGGCTTCAGCATATGTGCTGCGCAGTTTATTCTAAATAGCACGCCGAGGAATACCATGCCGTAACCAACTACGATGACATGTCCGACCTTATTTATGCGACAAGTTGGTCGTTCTTAGCCGAATTGACCCCTGAAGTGGCCTGCGGAGAATTCGTCAATATATTTAACAAGCTGGTTGCAAGCACATACCAAATCAAACTACCAGCCTAAAAGGACAAGGTCTTCCATAAGAAGCAGGACAAGTATATGCATGGCATTAAGGGGTTTGGCATGATGCATCTACATAGCCTCCCCGAACGACCATACCTGGGATGTCTACACACTACAAAGGAACCACTGTGTCAAACTCGCTTAGGAGGATAAACTGAAGAACCAACCAGGTTTAGTGGAAAGGCGTTGCTCCAATCCCACACTGTCATACAGACAAGTAAAAAATTTGTGCCGTGTTAAGCGCGGTATTCCTGCTCTGCACACAGCATGCGGATTAGCCCAAACCGCACAAAAGCCGGCCAAGGTTCTCGGAGGACAATTTGGCCGTACCTTCCATAGCGCGCAATCATCTTACATCCTACCTAAGCAGATAATGCCGCCATCAGGGTTTACTCACATATCGTTTACCTCCGCAGCTGTACTGAATTAGCTGAGGACTCTGCGCGAGTTCAGCTTTCCAGTTGCGGACGGCTTTCGCACGAAAGCGTTGAAAGTTGCTGCCTTGAGTTTGGCAGGACCACTAGCAATTTTCTTTCAACGGTGTCTGAAAGTGAGGCACGCCCACACGATGTGGACGCACGGAATCCTCACGCCAATCTACGTAAGTGGTAGCCGTGCGGAACCAAAAAATTATCGCCCGATAACACTATTTCCTGTGAGCTCTAATGTTATGGAGTTCACTGTAGCTGAAGCTTTGATGGGGTACTTGGAGTACAACAAAATCCTTGTTTCGGGGCAGCGCGGATTCCGCCAAACTCGGTCCTATACCACTAATCTGTTGATTGCTCCTGCAATCTAGACGGAATCTGTGGACGCTGGGGTAAGGTTCGACACGGCCTACCTAGACTATTCAAAGGCATTCGACTGTCTAGACCATCGCATTCTACTCCACGAACCCCAGGACTATGGAATCGACGATGCTGTTCAGGGCTGGACAGGAGACTTTCCCGTGCAACTTCAACTGAATATGGGGCCGAAGCAACTTATCGGAATCCATCATAGTTAAGTGCCGCGAACCTCAAGGCTCGGTACATGAAACCTGCACGTTCCTGGTTTCATAACCTCGCGAGCGTGCTACCTTCTAACGGTTTGCTAGTTCTTGATGATCTAAAGGTATGGCGTACTATAACTGCAGTGGGGGATCACACAGCGTTACAGGAGGACGTGGACAATGCATACACATGGTCCATCGAGAACAAGCTGCATTTCAACGTCACCAAGTGCAAACTTCTCAGCATACTGCACAAGAATATGCACAAGTACCGCCTAGGACCACAAATTCTACAGCGGGATCCTCACGAATGCGATCTCGGCGAGCTAGTGCAATATGATCACGCTTGTTTGAGACCGACTGAAAAGGCATCTAATAAAGCAAACCAGTGCCTCGGCCTTCTTCACAGAGCTTTCGGGCTTTGATCCTTTTATCTTTCCATAAATGCTTAGTGCGTACGTGAGGCCGCACGCGAAATACGCTGAGAAACTCCAAGCAACCATGTCATGCCGTTCTGATACTTAGTGGAAACACCCCTTTAAGACATCATCAGTTTAAGCTGGTCACGCGGTACAACCGCCTGGAATGTCGGCGAAACGTTTTCTCTCTCCAAGTGTCCCGGCCTTGTAATGCCCCCGGAACATGTAATTAACGCTACCACCCTATCCCTTGACAAGAAACACTTTGACGATACGCTGTCACTCTTTCACTACGTGCTATAGCCTGTGGGGAGGAGCCTGGGATATTAGTCGGTAAGCAATGACAAGTAAGACGTGTCAAATACGACAGTATAGAAGTCGGAGGCGGCTGAACTCAACGTATATTGTACAGGCTACAAGAATAGGAAGCGAATCAGACAGAGCTAGAAACGTGCAGCGAGGTACTCACCAAAACTGTTTGTGTCCACGGATGTGCGGTCGTTAAAACAAATGGAAGTTTTAAAGGTTAGAGCAAGCATAAATCCAATGTTGCAGTATACTGAAGGAGCGTGTTTTCCGCTATACTACAAGGGCTTCTCTCTCGAATGCTGAAGGATGGAATCCTTCGATGAAGCTGTTAGTGGGGAAAACAGAAGATGAGGATGGTCACAAGTAATTGCATGGGGTTGAGTAAGGGCTTCTAAGGTAGGGTGTGTAGCAGAGTTCGCTGAGTCCAGGCTTTGGTTAGTTATTATTTATGATGGTGGTGTGGGCCACAGTGCATCATCGGTAAGCCGTCGGGACGGGCTGATCGGACTGCAAAAGGCTGGCCAGTCCAGAAATAGGCTGACCGGACCTTCCCTTTGCTGCAGACCCGACGGTGCGCTTGGGAGGTGTCACTCCCCCCACCGCAGTTTAGTCCACGGTCCTCATCCCAAAAAGAAATACAGGCGACCTCGTCCCATGAAGCAATCCGGCGTCCTCGTCGGCAATGCCTAGGCAGCGTTTGGGGACTAATCCGTTCGTGTGTGTCTGCGGTCGAGGGCGACTGTCTGTCCCTCAGGTGAGGAAGGGGGCCTTGGGTCGGCTGGTGAGTCACTCCGGGGTTGCGTTCAGCCGGTTGGCGAATCACTCGAGGGTTACTTGAGCAGTCCCGGCGATTGTGGTTCTGGAAGGTAGAACTCAGAGGGGTGGGCAAGGGTCGGGGAAGTGGCTTGACGCCGGAGAGAGAACATGGGATGCATAACAAAAGTAAATACGCTTTTTAGGTTTTCAAAATGTTTTGGGTTTTCCTTGTCGATTTTGCAAATGGTTTGTGGATGAGACGCAGGATAACCACTAAAGACGAAAAAGGCATGTTAATGGAAATAGCAAACGTTTATAAAAGCTGAAAAACGGACCGGACATTTGACCTGTCTAAAGCTTCGGTCGGTTGCCTGAGGTTGAGGCGGGATAGGTTGCGGGTCAAGGGGTACTGAGGGTTTCGGGATATCCAGTGCTCAGGAAGTCACCGCAGGTGCGGGTGCTTGTGTGAAGGCATCAGGATGGGTTGCAAGTATTTCGTCAGAGGAAGCCACTTTGAGGCGGTCGATGGACACCGTTGTTCGGTTATCCTTCTGGTATAAAGTTAACTGTTTCGGAGTCCGTTGCAGAACTCTGGAAGTGCCAGTGTAGGGAGGCTGGAGAGGACGCCGCACTGCGTCGGTGCGGAGGAAGACGTGACTGCAGATAGTGTGTCCGCTGGGCATTTGTTCATCTCTAGTCTGTTCACGGGGCGGAGTCCTTGAGCTAGGGAGGACGCAAAGTTAAGCGGCGACATACCCGACGATGCGGGAGGTGAAACGAATTCTCCTGGTAACTTGAGCGTCTTGCCGTAAACCAGCTCTGCTGGTGCACATTGTAAGTCAGCTTTGGTGCTGCTGCGACTACCTAAGAGCATGAGCCAAACACTTCCGTTCCTGCAAGGGTCGGTGGAGGCGCAGAGCGAGGCATTAAGCTGTCTATGGAAGCGTTCAACTAACTCGTTGGCTGATTGATGATACACTGTGGTATGAATGCGGCGACAGCCTAAGAAGTTGCAGGACGTATCGCATTGTGAAGATTCGAAAGGCGTTCCTCGGTCAGTTGTGATGGTTGACGGGTATCCGCAGTGCGAAATCCACCGGTCCAATAAGGCCCGGACAACAGTCTCAGCTGTGCAGTCTGTTACGGGGATGGTTTCTGGCCAGCTGGTGCAGCAGTCGACACACGTACTAAGGTAAACGAATCCGGGTGAAGGTGCCAATGGACTTACCAGGTCTAAGTATACATGCGAGCACCAAGAGTCCGGGCAGGAAATGAACCAAGCGGACGGCGGGTGTGACGATGTACTTTGGAGCGCTGGCATTGAAGGCGGGCGCAACCCCAGGTACGAACTTCTTTGTTTACGCGTGACCAAACGAAACGTTCGGTGACCACTTTCAAAGATGCACGGATACCAGGACGTGATAGTGAGTGCAGTGCGTCAAAGACTGTGCGCCTGAAGGAGACGGGCATGAGTGGTCTCGAACAACCGGTGGAAATGTCACAGAGGATGGTTCCTTCCGTGGTTTGGAGAAGAACAGGTTGCACATGCAGCGAAGTGGACTGCAGAGTGCGCTGTATATCTTCGTCTTGAGCCTGTGCCGATGACATGGTGGCAAGATCAACGGTAGGCAAAGACTGCAGTGTGAGGTTGACGTGTGAGATAGCGTTGACGAAGGAATTCTCGACACCTGAGGATGACGTAGGTCAGCAGCGAACTGCGTTTGAAAGTCTAGGTGTCTTGTTTCCCGTGGTAAGTATTTGTCGCAAGCCGAGTTGTAGGCAAATAAAAGGGGCTTGCGGTCAGTGTAGACCGTGAAAGCGCGGCCTTCGAGTGTGTGCCGGAAGTGATGCAGCACTGGGTAAATGGCGAGCAGTTTTATGCCAAAAGTGCTGTAGCGGTATTCCGCTGGCTGCAGACGCCTGGAGAACGACCAGGGGGCTTGCCATTGCCCACCAACGTGTTGTTAGAGGACGGCTCCTGCCACGGCGTCCGAGGCATCAGTCGTAATAGAAAGGGGTTCAGTCGATCCGGAGTGGGCGAAGACGGCTATGCTGAAGCTAGTAGCTTGGACTTTGTCGAATGCTGCCTATGCTGTGTCAGGGAAAGCGAACTTACGTTCACTTCCTCTGAGTAAGTCAGTCCGAGGCTGCATGAGCGGAGCGCAGCGCGGAATGAAGCGTTCATAGTAGTTGACCAAACCACAAAATCGACGGAGGTGCTTGAACGAAGTCGGAGGTGGGAAATCCTTGATTGCCTGGATCTTATCAGGAAGGACCTCGATATGAGACGATGAAACGAGGTGGCCTAAGAATTCTACCGTTGAGCTGCCCAGTTCGCACATAGTCGGCTTGACTGTGACACCGTGTTGTGTCAAGCGCTGGAAGAGAGTTCGAAGATGCTCGAGGTGCGCTTGTTCCGATGAAGTGGCTACTAAATATCATAGAGGTAGGAATAGGCGAAGTCTAGACCACGAGTAACATCGTGGATGAAGCGTTGGAAGGTTTGTGCGGCGTTGCACAGTTTAAAGGTCATTCTTAAAAATTCGAACAAACTGAAAGGAGTGATGACGGCTGTTTTAGGAATGTCATTATCTTCTACAGGTTCCTGGTGGTAAGCGCGAACCAGATCGATCTTGCTGAAGTTCGCCCTGCCTATGAGACATGCGGTAATGAACGATGAACAATGACACTTCCAGTAGAATGGTTGCGGTGAATAGGATGAAATCAAAATATGTCCGGGTCATCTATCAAACGTCTGCCCAGATGAATACTTAGATAATTAACATCAGTGTAACATTAAAAAGTATCGAGCGTAAAGCTTCATAAAGACACTGGGGCGCAGTGATTGTTGACGTAAGGAGTGAGAAAAGTAAAATATGGTCGCTCACTTAGGTCCATTTGATACATAAAGCCCGTTGAAAAGAACGCTTGGCATTATCCACAATAGAGGAATTTAGGTAACGACATGTCGGGAGCTAAGGGCAACATCTGGTCGGTTTTTTGGTATCATACAAGGTAGAAGAGGATATACTGAGTCTGGGAGTGCGTTCCAGGGTTGGCAAACTCGAAGGGAAAAGTAATTCGGTCGACACACTAGACGGCTATATTGTTCCTTCAATTTTGAGCAGTTACCCATGAGCTGCGTGTTGTGGCTAAGTTTCAACGAATGACGGCATACGTGGTTGGGGTCACTCAGTATCTGATACGGCAATATTAGACCGCCGCGCAGCGTTCGATAGCGTCCGCTGAAAATTCTCCTCAACTTCAGTCTACGGGGGTAAGAATGCTAGCACAGCCCTTTACATTCCTTGTTGCTCTTCGTTCTGGTGCCTCTATCGCTTGTTGGTCGCGCTTCAACCAAGGTTGTCAAGCTTGAATAGCGTATTCAACCTGCGGACGCACGTAGGAATTGTGCATCCTTGGGAAGATTGATGGGTCAAATCTCCCGAATGCCCTTCGCAGCATGCCGACGTGCTGGTTGTCTCTTTTTCAGCTACCTCAGCCTGTTTTGAACAGTTGAGGTCGCTCTGTACGAGCACATCCAGGTCACGTTTCTGGGAGCTCTTCTGCAGTCCGTTGGTCCCAAGTGAATACGTGTAGTTATGTCTATGGCGTAATTGTACGATGTGACATTTGTCTACATTGAACGGTAGGGCGTTTTGACTGACCAGTTCGACACTGTGTTAAGGTTGCACTGCAGCCGTTCATGGTCGTCCGGTCCTCTGATCCCTCGCCAAATCTTGATATCATCAGCGAAAAATACGAAATCGGAAGTAATTGATCTCGCCATATCGTTAATGAACACTAAAACTAGATGAGGTCCAAGAACCGAGCCTCGTGGTGTGCCACACGCCACATCGATTGCATGAGACAATGATTCTCGGACTCTCACAACTAGCCGTCGTTCTTGTAGAAAATTGCCAATCCAGCTCAGGAATGGGTCGCCAATGCCGTAATTCCGAAGCATCTGAAGGAGAATTCGATGGCTTAAGCGATCAAACGCTTATACAAAGTCCAGGTAGATGACATCGACTCCTACTCTATCATCAACAGCTTCAGTCCAGCTATTACGTGCAATTAATAGGTTAGTGTTACCCGAATGCTTTTGACGCAAGCCACGTTGCTCTGGGGCTATTAAATTGTGGTTTTCCAGGTATTGCATAAGCGCGTCTGCGATGATTGATTCCATCACTTTGGGTAGTAAGGGAAGTAGTGGTATTGGACGGTAGTTGGCAGGATCAGTGCGACTACCTCCTTAATGTATAGAATGATGAACCCTCGCCTCCATACTGATGGAATACGGTTTTCTTCTAGATACCGCTGATAGAAAACTGTCAGTGGTCTTGCTATAACACTACTACCGTTTGTAGAGCCCTCGGTCGGATGTTTCCAGCTCCGGGAGCACTGTGGATACGCA